TTGGAGTGGTCAGTCTTACAATGTTTGATCGTGAAGTAAGAAACCTTCTGAAAATATCTGCTGCTGAATTAATATCAAAATATGAAAGGTATATGTATTTTATAATCAATACCATATTGCTAAATTAATGTTGTTTTTAAAACATTTATTTAATTCATATTGTTTACTACTAATTTTTTTAGTTCGACAACCCAAGTGACTTTCCAAATGAGTTGAACGCCATGCTCAATAAAAATTGGCTTTTAAGATCGTTGTCAAGACTTTGAATTCCTCAAAATTTGGTCGTTATTACAACATTTCCAAGATAACAGATAATTTTCGACATTATTGTTGCTTTGGAAAACATTGAGAAAAAGAATATCATTGAACAGGTAAAAATACACCATAATTTGATTACTTTACTACATAATATTTCATAGAATCCTTAATGTAGCAATTTTTTTTTACCCGTAATATTATAGGATATGGATAATGATTCTGTTAATGCAGTTGGCTCAGAATTTGCATCTCAAGACACAGTGGGTTGTAAGGTAATCAACACTTTTATGTTTTATATATATATATATATATATATAATATATATATATATATATATATATATATATATATATATATCATTTTCATTAATAATTTATCTTATTTTCTCTTTTTAATTTTAGGATGTTAATTCCCACACTGATGATAATACTCCTGTGTCAAATATTCCATCTGGTAATAGTACAAGTCCATCATCAGTAACCGCCACCAACAACCTCAATTCTCCACCTACAAGTGTCAAACGTAAACTCGTAGATATTTATGATCTTGATGATGATGTTTATGAATCTGCAACAAAACCTAATGCATCCCGTGTTGACAATGACAAAGCTGGAATAACAACCAAATTGTTGATTCCTAAGGTGGAAAAATGATCCTAAACAACAATCGTTCTTTGCTAATCATTGCTTTCTTCTAAGATATTTTTTTTATATTTCCTTCTTTTACTTGCATATTATTTTGGATTTCTAAATTTTTTGCTTGGTAAACTATGAATACTCATTTGTGTTATCTTTTACTTTTTTAATTGAATAACGTAATTGGGTTTTGGATGTTTCCTTGTGGTAGCTTCTACTAAACAGCAGTATTGTTTTCTTTGTGTTTGTTCATAACAATATATGGTTTGATCCATTTTGGTTTAATGATTACCTTATTTTGCAAAGCAGTTTATTATTGAATCAATGCAAAGTTTATATATATTTTTTATCTTTTTGGTGCATTTGTCCCTGATTATATAACTCTACTATTTGAATCCTTTTGTATGTTGAGGTGTTCTCATTTTGGCAATGAAAATATCTACAACGGTATTGACTTCATGATTCTTTCCATTTATGACCTTTTTTTAAATAAATTTGTATAAAATCTGTGAAAAATGGAATCAAGGGCATAAATGTCCATTTTAAACCTGCATATGATATTGTATGTGAAAGGGAAATGTAACTACATTAATGGAATTTTAAATTTACCTAATTACCCTTTTATTATAAAAAATTGCGTTTATAGCAACCTACTTTCATTTAACAGCCGCCTACACATTACTTTGATGCTTTCAGAATCAAAACTCATATTTAAATATCTATCATTTTATTAAATTTATATGTATACTATAGCATCTAATTTCCTAATTATGTCATATTATATGTAAGCTATAAATTTAATATTTTTAATAAATCACAGTGTCATCCTATACAATTTTACGTAATTTCCCTTTTATTAGCTTTATTAACAGAACTGTCCTTATTGTCTTTGGCAAATCTTCACAACGGTATTTTATTAAATTTACGGTATGCAAATGAGGGAGAAAGAATGTTGAATTTCCGTGTATAAATACCTTTTTGTTTTGGTTTTTTCTCTGCCATCAAATTATAAAAATTATGTCACATAATTTTGACCTAATAATCTACAAAATAACTCATATAATATTGCATATATAAACTGCAAAATTCTTAATATTACGAATTCAAACGTACAGTGTGTGTTAGTTCAAGGCTTTATGCGGCCCTTTTTTTTTCCAACATAACAAAAGAAAACTACAAAACAATACCCAACTAAATTACAACTTTATTTTACAAAATAATAATTCCATTACACCATATTAATTAAATTTACAGACTATTTTCATATTGTACATAATAGAATTTCTTCTTTACAAATTTTTTTTCATATTGTACATTATAAAATTGATGAATTTTCTTAGTTTGTGCACTGTGGTGATATGCATGCTACTTAGCCACCAAATCAGTCGCATCCTTTACAGCATTCACAGCAAGATCCTGAGCATTATCAAAAAATAAAATTATCACCATTCATACAAAATTTAATTATATATTTTTCAAATTTTAATAATACTAATAAAAACCTTTGGAATTATCAACAATCACTCATCAAATTCTGCAATCTCCAGCTGTTTGCGGGACCCCAAAGTTGTAGCTAGGTACTCCAAAGTTGTAGCAAGGAAGGGGTGCAGTTGATGCTGCTTTATCTGTGTGGACATTTATGCCCTTGTAGCAAGGTACTCCAAATACACATGGCAGTAATCGTATGTGGAAATTTATTCAACATGGCATAAATACATACCTAAATCGACAAAGTTGGTTACCATTGTCTATAACTTATCAGTATAATTATTATACACATAACTAAATCGACATTATTACTCACAAACCCTAGAACAAAGCCCTTTAACCCAAATAAATTTAGCCATACCGACGAATTAGCACCATCCCACATATCTTGCTAACTTTATGGACCCTCCATTTATCATTTTATCATTAATAAAAAGCGAATCATACAACTATGCATCACAATCTCATGAAAATTAACTGAAAAAATCAAAACCAATTCGTGATTTTTAGAAACTAAATCTCTACAAATAAACCCAAAATAATGTTGTATTTTACTTTCTATTTACGCAATACTTCATAAAATATTAAGCCCTAAACTTAACAATAATCGATGATCAGAAAATTTGAGAAGCTAATCTCGAAGAAAAAAGATGAAACCCTAATTAAACAAAAAATACATTTTGTTTTCGTCAACGACGTTGTTGCTGAACCCATCTCCGCTCCGATTAGTTTGTCGGCACCACCTCGGTGCTCAACATCATCCTACACTTTAGTACACTTCTGCTACACCTGACCAGTTCTTCCATTTCATTGAATCGGAGACGGCTTCCTCCTACCGTGTCTTTTATTTACAGGTGTTATTCTCACACTCTCATTTTCTCTCTGTTTTAGTATTTAATCATTTAATGTATTCCTTATAAAATAAAGCAATTGTAATCTATCGGTCAAAAAGCCTATTATCAATTGGAGTAAAATACTTTCAATAAATAATTTATACACGGAAATAAAATATAAATATTTTATTTATTTAGTTTGTATATGATGTTGGGTTGGTTTATTTCGCAATTAAAGCTGGGTGATAATTACGAGTACTTGCTTGCAACCAATTTATTATAATATATTATTTTTTTTATCATTGTTATGTTATAGTTGCATTAAGTTCATTATTGACAGCCCGATTACATCACTAAAATTTTATAAGTCGTTTATTTTTATACGTCATTCAATTAAGACACATGTGACTTTGAATCCTAATATCGCCGTTGTCACCAACAGGGTCGTGAAATTACTGAAATTGTCATCGGTTAACAGCGTTGCTACCACCGGAGTGCTCATCAATCCCTCTATCGTCTTTGCCCTTGCCTAATTTGTGCTTTGTCGATTATTATTAGTAAAGTTTTTCTATCTTTCTCGATCTCATTATCACTCTGTATAACTATCTTTCTATTTCTATCTTTTTGTTGAATATTATGGTCAATATAATTTTTTATTACATAAATTGCTTTTTGTTCTTAAGCTACACAGACGATATGAATTCAAATGAGCATAAAGATAAACGAAGACATAGAAAATTATATTTGGAAAATAGAAGATCCAATCTTATGTCCACCACGTCAATTGGTAATTTTTTATATATAACCCAATTTACTTTTATTTTCAATCATGTTTTATATTTGACTTATGTTGTGCAAATATTATTTTATATCTTATGATGTATTATATCACATAACTATCACATCATGTAATAACACATTCTTAATATTATATATACATTGTAGGTATTGCCTCAACAACATTCACCCCGTTCAACCAATTCTACATATGTTCGCATCGATAATGAAAATGTCAATCCAAATATATCATATGCATATCAACATACAAATTTCCAATCTACTTCAACTTTTAATATTAAGAATCCATTGTCTGTTGCTGCCAAAGAGAACAGAAAACTTAGAAAATTATATTTGGATAAGAAAAGATCCAATCATTTATCAACAACGCCGTCTGGTATGTCTTTTTATTCCTATGACACCGGTTTTTATTGCATTTTAAACATATTTTATTTTATACACATTCCCCAAATTCTGAAATCCTATTGTCTTTTACCTATACTCTTCTATACATTACAATTTATATTTCATTAAGATATTGTTATAATTTCACACCTAATACCTAGCACGGTCAAAATTTATTTCAATTTTTTTAACATTGGTATTTCATAAATCCCTTATATAGTACGTGTAATTATATGATTACATTTATTTTTTTATATTTTTCTTATTTATCTTATCTTAAGATAAATGTTATGTGTACTGTAACTTACATATTCTTTATTTTTTTACAGTCATTTCTAATATAACTACCAACATTCAAACACCATCATCAAACAAGTTGGCATATCATGGTGGTAACAATCAAAATGTCACCACAACTTCTTCATATGGATATCAACAAACACGTGTTCAATCTACTTCCAATATCTATATCGATACTCCATTATCACACAACGCCAAAGACAAACGAAAAGAAAGGAAAAATTATTTGGATAAAAGAAAATCCAATCACATATCCACCATGCCAATTGGTATATCATATATATCATCTTACTTCTTTTATTTTATCCATCTATAGTTATTATAAATATTTTAATAAATATTATGTTCTTATATGTGTTTCTTTATTATTCCATAATTAATACATATTTATATTAACATATATTACAATTATAGGTAATAATGGTCGTCATCAAGAACGTTTTGAAGACGCTTCTAATTTTACTACAAGAACTCCGTTGTCCAACATTACCAATGGTATAACTACGCTTTTATCCAGCATATTGTTTCTTACTATATATGGTATACATATTATTATAATATGTATGCATTTTTATTTTTTCATTTTTATCAATTTACTTTATAAATTTAATACTAAATATCATACTTTTATTTTTAGTCAACGGAGAATGTTCAGTCTTGTGTCGTGACATGAGACCTATGACTTCATCTTCAATCACTCGAGACTATTCCAACAATTTATTGCGCAAAAATATAAATAAAAAAAGGAAGTTTCTAAATACTACTCACATACCCATTTTCGACCTAACGTCAGAAGAAGAGTTTCGTGATCAACAAATCCATAAACTAACTTTAACTTCAGGTGCCACAAAAGGTAACATTTAATTTAAATTTATCATCCACCTTTCTTTATAAACTATTACTCATCTAAACATTAATTTAGTTCAAACTTTATCATACATTTTTATTAAACAGATTACTTGGACCATGGTGATCAGACTTTTGTGTGTACGATGTGTCATGCACAGTTATGGAGGGATGAAGCACGTAAAGGCAATGCTTCTGGAAAGAAAACTTCTTTTTCCCTTTGTTGTGGCAATGGAAAGGTCGAGCTTCCTCAACTAAAAGAACCGCCTAAAAATTATGAAAATCTCTTTCGTGTTGTTGATCCAAAAGGAAAAAATTTCATGAAGAACATCCGTCGATTCAATTCGATGTTTTCCTTTACTTTAATGG